ACACACACACACACACACACACACACGAGGATCCAGAAGGAATCTAAAACGACACAACACTCACTAAAAAAAAAGACATGTAGTCACATTGTCCGTTCTTACCGAATCCATGCTTGACAAATGAATGTCTTTGAGATTGCACTGCCACTTTGAAATCACACAGTGACGATTTCGAAATCGCACAACGAGGTCACGTTTTCCTACAGTCGTAAGAACGTATCTGCGTTGTCCAGAGCTATAATATATGAATCACAGCGAGTGAGCGATTTGTTCCCCGAAAAGAAAAGATTGCTCTTTTTACAGTCGAACCTGCTCTAGCCGCCACCTGTATAAGACAATCACCTGTGCAAAAGGCCACTTATTTTTTCCCGCCGTTATTTTTTTAAAGATATTATTGTGACACTGTGTAAGACAACCGCTCGTCTAAGACAACCATTAATTTTCTTCTCCTAAACATGTAGCCGTTTTAGACCATTTCGACTATTTATTTTTAAATCTTTTTTTCCAGAAACTGCTACGTAGTAGACTTAGGTTTGGGGTTCAAAATTTCCCGAAATAAATCACTCTATGAAGTGGGGAGAGGGGGTCGAATTTTTAAAAACATGTAGCTAGATATAAAGGGAAGGGAGTGATGATAGAGAGACAGCGGAAGGGAGGAGGGAGGGGAGGACTAAAGGAGGGAAGAATGGAAGAAAGGAAGTTAAAAAGGAAGCTGCAACGGAGCTAGGAAATTTGAATTGGCTTTAAAGAAAGTCAGATCTCACAAGATGATAATAGAGGAAGGAAAGTAGGATTGAAAGAAAAAGTATATACTGAAACTATTTAGCAAAAAACCCTCACATGAGTTCGAAAGAAGAAAAGAAAAATAATATGTCTAGAAAACGTACACGTGGAAAAACTGACAACAAAAAAACAACAAAAAATTTTTTTTAACCCGCGTAAACATTCTTTAAATTAGTCACTTATTAAATTTGGGTAACAAAGTAAAATGAATAACGGAATGAAATAAGCGATTAGGTTACGTGACAAAAATCCTATAAAGGGAGTACTAACTAAATTAAGAAAATGAATTAATATTAGATAAATAGATAACTAAATTTAAAAAATAATAATAGACAAATAGATAAAAGGGTCGGCTAAATAAAGAAATGAATAATGAAATAATAGAATAATGAAATTAATAGAAAATAAATGAATAAATAAACCACACGAAGGTCACACTCGTTCAAACGAAACAAACTGCAGGCTCGCTCAGGCTCCTGGTCTAGATAGCACCAGCAGGAAGATGAATGTACCGAGACGTCACACGAACAATGGGATGGAACATCACAGAACTCCCAGTTTTACCGCCATACTTAAACTGTGTGCGCACAAAGAGATTCGACTAGATCGCAAGCCATTTGTCAACACAATTCGACGTCGCGTCTTGCTCTGGGCTCTGACCTTAAGTTGTTGTTTTGTTTTTTTCTGAGGGATTGCTCTTACATGACGTCAAAAGATAAATGTTGTCATCGAAGACATTCAGAGCTACTGTGCGTTCTAGTTTTAGAACATGTTTTATGGCATAATGTGTCGTCACATTACGTCGAATTCGATTTTAAAGAAGAAAGAAAAGACAGCAATAGATTTCATGTTGCCTATCGTGTGCACATCTGATTGAGGATTTTATCGATTTTGCGATGACAGAAATGAGGTGGGGGAGTATGGAAATGGTTCCTGCAGCAAGGTAAAAAGACTGAAGACTCTCTCTCTCTCTCTCTCTCTCTCTCTCTCTCTCTCTCTCTCTCTCTCTCTCTCTCTCTCTCTCTCTCTCTCTCTCCCTCTCTATCTCTCCCTCTCTCTCTCTATCTCTCCCTCTCTCTCTCACTCTCCCTCCCCCCCTCTCTCTCTCTCACCTTTCTCTCGTATCTCTACCACCCCCTCCCCCCACTCCAACCCGTCCTCAATCTCAAAGATTCACTTTTGTTTGAGTTGTCCCTATTTTTTCTCTGTCCAAGTTACGCACCATTTAGAAACTATTCTCTTGGAGACTTTGCATGAATAATTCATGGGCTCACCTAATAACAAGGAAATAAATGCGTCAGATCTATAACAGACACTTTTAATCTTGT